CTAATATCACAGTCTCCTTTCTTGTCATTCACGGCATGTATGTAGGTCTAGAAGCGTACACAAAAGCAGTTACTAAATGGCGAATACAACATGAGTTCTGAAAACTTTCCCCTATAACAGTCCGACCGTAAGGAAGTGCTTGAGTAAGTCCCAGGCTCCAAACCCAAACCGATCAGTGGGCGATCCACGCATACAGCTAGCTGGCGTTTTAGTGCCGCGACGGTATAAATACCCATTAATGCGGGGTGAAGCCAGAATAGGCAACTACAATTCAGGAGCAGCGACAACCACAGCCATGAAGAGAGAGAGCACTTGTCTCACCGGCTTCGCTAACTCTTCTCTCATAACAGATTCTTCAACGTTGTCCACTACAGTTGTGGTAGGCGAGACAGGGGGCCTCCTTTGGTCTTCCACGGGAGAACTGTCGAGTCCTGAAAATGCTCTTATCAAAACAAAAACAATCGGATTCACAGAAATGCCTGAGAGATAGTTACTTTTAAAGTAGCCCTGAAAAAGGGAAGCATTTCGGTAGGAGATGATCTCTATTTCTACTTCTTGACCATGATATGTTAAACTTACTGGGGTTATAGGGATCATCTCGTAATGGTAAAACGAACGGTTGTCTGACGTAAATAGGCTTCCCAAAGACGTAAACCTTTGTGATCGGCGTATTGTTTGGTGGGAAACTGAATTGCTGAACCTGAAAGTCTTAGGTTTCAGGAGAGTTTTAAATTTTCATTAAGGCTATAATACCTGACTCCTAATGTTAGTTGAATTGAGGTCCTTACTCACGACATTGTTAGAGCTGTCATCTGCATTGAGAAGAACGATACTCGTGAACAACGTAAGGGTGAATCTTCGAATCATCAATCACTGGTCCTACATAGAAATCGGAAATGGTAATATGCTCTCGAAAAACTTGTAATTCGTTGAGATTTAATAGCGACACGGTAAGACGCTCTTAACAAGGAATAGAGAAATCGAACGTCAAGAAGAAGTCTTTTTTAAAAAAAGAAAGAAAAAAAGGAAACCGTTAAAATTGAAGGCTGTTAATTAAAATTCGTCTTAACTTACTCTACCGGCCTTACAGAAGTTCCAAACGGTTCCGGCAATACTTTACAACATTTTGGTAGCCGAAGGAGGCTGAGCTGAATTGCTGCGCCTATACAATTTAAATTATCAAAACTGTGCTGCACCCTCGTCCTTCGTATACTCCCGGGTACCTGCCCTAATGAGTCCCAAATATTTCGGTCTAGAACTGATCAGAAGATCATACAAGAGGTTATAGAGCAATGTCGGTTGGGTTCTCTGTCACTCAAACAAGTATCAGAAACAGAACTGCGAGAAGCGGCTAGATTGAACCTGGTGAACTGCGCAAAGCATTGCAACCGCGGAGCCAAAGTGCCCTTCTCCGTAATCGTGACTAGTTTCCACTCTTTATAATAAGGCGACGTCGCCGAAAATATGAAAGCTGCAGAAATGTTTTAATAGCTGAATGCGTCGAGAAGTGCAATGAAGTGAGAAGGGACACAAAAAAGTGCGAAGAGTAGGCAGTTTGGGGCGACGGGTCCACTTCTAATGCATTCGCCGAACCATCATCGAATAAAAGCCAAAGCACACAGTAGTCGAGTTCGATCCATTGTAACGAAGAATCGTCTCAATCGTTCAATAGTCGCTCTGACCACTTGCCACTGAGCTTACTCATTTCTCCGTGGTAGAAACTATGATTGGAGTTTCAGTAGTACTACGTTCACAACCTATGTATGATGAGCCTGCCAGAGTGAAATTCATGAATTCTGACGACATTTGTTTTAACTTAATGTCTTGTTAACTGCTGTTATCTCGTCGCAGTACGCGATGCGAAAATCTTACAAGATTTGCGATTTATGGGCAAAACTTCGGCTTCCGGAGGGAATCGAACCCACTTGTGTTTTGCAACATACATACAGTTAACATTTTTCGATAAATACACTCTACAAATTTGAAATAATTCTGAAGCACATTCTATGATTCTCACAAAGGACTGAGTGATGTAATCAAAGGAGCATATCCATCTACAGCACTAAGGAAAGGTAAATTTCATAAGATAAAAAAGCCCAGTCACTTGCAGTTTTGGCTCTCTTCGACTGTTGGTATTTTCTCTAGTAGCATAAATTTTGTTGCAATGTCGTATGAAAGATTAAAGGATGAACTCTCTGGGCGTTAATCAATCCGAGGGATGCGCCAACTCATTCGACTTCCATTCAAAATCGTAGTGGCGTAATGAGTACGTATGTAGCCTATACAATGACTTGTTGTGGCCAGCCGATGTACAAGTCAGTGCTTTTATCCTCCCAGACAAGTCGAGTACCATTTAGCCGACCCTGGGGTGTGGAAGGCTTTGTTGGCCTAGGTGGTCTAGCATTCAATCTCCAGATCATGTGTATGTGACAGTGCACCACATACCAATATGCTAACTCCGCCCAGCTTAAAGGATACCAACAAAGAAAATTTGTTGATTATATATAAGATATTCAGTTCAACTTTGAAACACAATGACTGGGCAGCTTTTGCAAGCACAAAGAATGCGATAATTGGACATTCCGAAAGCGGGCTAGATCACCACGGAGAACTTTATATGCATCGCGTAGGTATCAGGGTTTTACGCATCACTGCTTGTGTAAAGATTCCATTTATCTGCTTTCTGACATGATCGATGAGATTTGAAGGCATCTTTTCCGAAAGATCGACAAGCAAGAAGTAAATATACTTAATTAAATGCTCCAAAAGATTCAGCTTAGTGAATTCCTACAGAAAACAGCCCCATCGATGTTTGGTCATACTTTTTGCGCGTATTTACAACCATGGGTCTAAGAAATGTTTTAATTGTAAAACTTGCGCTAACCTTCCATACGAGCAACAACTGTGAGGTATGGGACGCTTGAATAGACTCCGTGAGGTTCGATTCGGTGTAATCATGGTTTGACGGTGCACCTTACGAGAACGCCATTTATCCAAACTCAGAGACCCAAGGCAAAAGGCAAACAGAGTATGAGAATCGGAAGCAAAAAAGGAGAAACACTGGCAAGACGTCCTCCTGGCCAAAGAAAGGGAAGTGCGAGCCAAGTGTGGCGTAGCGGACGAACGAACGAACTCGCTTTGATCAGCGTGATCCGGGCAAATGGACGGATCGTTCACGAGGATTTGTCGGCGATGGCTTCCAAGGGGGGCCAAAATCCTCCACAAATGGTAATTCGATGACAGGCGACAAGGAGAATCGCTTACGATCGGGGAAAGGAGTCAGGGCAAAAAGACGAGGTAGACCACTTGCACGGTCACAATGGAGACCGAACAATGACAAAAGAAGTCAGAGCTAAACTTTCAAGCGTTTCGGTCAAAGAAAACGCTTCCATCGGGGACTACCTGCACATGAACAGCCTTGGATTTTCATTAACTGCTACCTAGTAGAAAAAGTTGTATGGTTTCAAGAAAGCGGTATGATATCTATTGCCCATAGAAGTGGTATCCCCATTAAAAAATAAAGGCTCGAAAATCTTAGGAGCTTGTGGAAAGAAATTTCTGAAGAACGAACCAAGAACT